TCTGGTGAAGTCCTGAAGGATTTGTGTGCCTCCTCCTGTACTGCCTTAATATGCACATTCAGCACATCCAGTGCATCAAAACATTGTTTTCTAGTTGGAGCCGCACCTCGTTTTCAAACTGTATGGTTTGACTAAAATGAACAATGACAGCAATATAGTCCACGATGGCCAGCGCTAAAATCTTTGTAACAAAATGAGTCCCTGATTCAGACCAAAGCAAGACAACTCTAGGTCTGAAAGCACCCTCATTTATCCAGTCGTATGCTCAGTGCTTTCCAAACAGAAAGCTCTTTCTGACAGGAAACTGAACTAGAAGTGAAATTTATCTAAGCTCTCTTAAAAGCCAGACTCCATTGACAAAAACAGTAATTTCACTTTACTTAAGTAATTTTACTTTGCTGAACACAGAAACAGTTAAACTGGTCGAGGCCTTGGTAGACCAGCAGCTCCGGTGTTAAGCCAGGTAAAATTACTATTTTATCAATAAAGTCTGACTTTGATGAGAGCACTTTTCGTTCAGTTTCCCTCCAGAAAGGGCTGTCTGTTTGGGAAGTACTGAGCATTCAACTGGATAAATGAGACTTGGATTATACTGCATGAGTTGTGTGAGAGTTTGTGACCAGATGTTTTGTTATAGTTTTGCTGTTGTTAAACGTGGACCCCCGATGACTTCAATTCATCGACTATTTTCCACTTTTGGATTCTTCGTTCTCTGCAGACATAATATGGGGTGAGTAATTGATATGGGTGAAGTGTTCTTTTAAGATGTATTATAGGGATGCACGATAATATCGGCATCGTCTTTAAGAATCGACCAACATACTTTTTCTTACTTTGCACAGTAAATGAATATTACATACATTGAAAAGCATTGTATTTCATATTTCCATCTGCTGGTGGGCCATCATGGTAAGAGTATGCATGCATAATATGTTGTTTATTCCACTAAAGAAGAGACTTGATGAAAATTAGGTGGGGAAAAAAAGTGGATCTATCGCAATCGCTTATCAGTCAAATGAATTGTTACATATCGGCCTATCAGATAATCGGCAAAAAATCCAGTATCGTACATCCCTAATGTTTTACATATGACATCATAAAGGAAGAAAGAGCAGCTCACCTTCTCAAAATGTGATTTAATTTACGTGTCATTTGTGAAATTGTGAAACAAATAATGATCTCTGTCAGCTCAAACACAACCTATCCTAACCTTCTCTATAAGGAAATGTATGGCAACTCATTTCTACGCACCACCTGTCTCCAAAAAGTTTAAAACATAATATCCCGTTTAATGAGTTTTGTAAATTGGTTAGCAAGTTGACAGAGAAATACGATAGAAGGGCTTAAGCACCTTGATTTTGACCCCTCATGCCTCAGATGTGACACTGTCATGGAAAGAGGCCCAAGAGGAAGCTGACTTGCGTCTTTGGCATCGTCAAGCGAAATAACACTTACATGTTGACTGCCAGGGAAGATTACTCTCAGGGCTGCACTGTGGAAAATAAAGGGTGTAATATCTCATGATGAATGATCCACACAGGAATATTTTATGTTATATGCAACAGTGTTTCTGTCGTGGTTGAAAAAGAAAAGGTATGTTCGATGTTATCGGGGAAGCTTTTCTTTTAAATCTCAATAGCGTGAACTGCAGATCACATAAACATGCCACATGGTAGGAGAGCATTTGGCATAGCTTAGCACGGTCGTGAACCAGCCAAACAGAACGCTGTATCGTCTTTCTCAGGGTAGGGGTCAGGCATGATGCAGCAAAATGCAAAATATGGAGACGGATTCAAATGACTGCAGCTGTAGTTAATCCTGAAGCCACAGGCACCGCAGGCATTCGGTGCAGCCTGCATCTCTATAAAGTGGATCTTGCAGGTTATTATATTGTTGGGTGAAGTTAGTAAGGGGCTCAAACCAGAGGATTTCTCTTCAGGAAAACATCAGACAAAGTTCTCAGTACAGTTCTCAGAAAGCTGAGACTATTTTGAGTGTGAAGGTGGAAGGCGCTTCCTGCAGACTTGGAGAGCCAAAGCTGCATGTTTGGACTTTGCTAAAGAGATATCACCTGACCCACTTTTATGTGCATTGCAATGGATTTGTATCAGGATACCGACATCTGGCATAGCCATTGGGGATTGAGCCCTCCCAGGTCAGACCTCGCATCAATAATTCATGGAAAACACAGGACCACTCACTTTCCACTGAAAAGGCACAGTTGATGCATATTTTTAGTTTTTAGGAGGGTTGGTCACATGCCAGCTTTATTTTTATGGCCCGACGTTAGGTGTGTGTGAGCAAGAAGGACGCCACAGTCATTAAGCAATAGGAAGTGACCTTTACCCAAGCCCATTAAGAAGTTTAAATGACAGAATGGAAGCTGTGACCTCTGACACTTTCCTCTGGACCTTGTAACCTTGGCTCAGTCAGCACAGGAAGTTCCTCATTCACAGAGTCTAATTACTGCTCAGTGGAGTGACTCCTTTGCCCCCGAGCGTCCAACCTAAAGGTCTCCCCGTCAGTTTCTGCAGATTTGGAATGTATGTCATTGTTTTGTGTTGATTAGGTCACTTCACTTCCTCACTGAAACTGGGAGTAACACTGAGGACCAGTGTGAGCAGGTGTAAAGTTCTGAACTGACCTCGCTGACCTCCTCTATTGAACTCATTAGTCTTGATTATTGACCCTATCAGAGGTGTGAAGAGATGTTACTGCCTGTATATGTTGTCGGACAAATGTTGTTTTTTCTAACCCAGTGTCATTGGCAATGAAATTGTTTTGTCTTCAAAGAGTCAAATTTAATTTTCTAATGGCAAATAATTATCAACATCCTTGTACTGAACATTTCATCTCTTTCTTTCTCTCTCTTATTTTTTATTTGTACCTGAAAGTACATATGCCAGTGAAATAAATCCTAAAATTAAAAAAAATGAAGAAAATAATACATGAATATAGAAATGAATGTAAATATAAATATATAAATGAGTCAGTATAGTTTAGGTGAATATTAGATAAATAACAAATGAGTAAATATGCTAGTGAAATGAATCCTGAAATAAATTTAAATAAATAAATTAGGTAATATAATCTAATAGTTATATGCCTGTGAAATAAATCATAAAAATTAATACATAAACATGTAAATAAATGGAAATATATAAGTGAGTCAATACAATTAAATAGATACATAAATTAATAGATAAATAAATATGCCTTTCATATAAATCTTGAATATAAAAAATGAGGAAATAGATACATAAATGTATAAATATTTGTTAATATGAATTTATAAATGAGTCATTATTGTTCAATAAACAAACAAATAAATGCAAAAATAATTAAATATTTTTTTGAAATAAATTAATGAGGAAATGAATACATAAACATAAATAAATGTGAATATAAATATATAAATAAAACAATATAGTTCAGTAATTAAATAAATAATCAAGTAATTTGCCTATGAAACACATTCTGAAACAAATAAATGTCATAAATACAAAAACATATGAATAAATGTAAATGTCTCAATGGAGTGCAATAAATGAATAAAAAAATAAATATGCCTTTTAAATAAATCATAAAATAATTACATTAGGAAATACAACATGGACGTCAATACATGTAAATATAAAAGTGAGTCAACATAGTTAAATTAAGAATAAATAGATGAATAAATTGTTTTTTGTTTTAAATAAAGGACATTTTGCAAAGGACTACTTTATATTTATATTTCAGGGGTCTTTTATTTCCTAATGCCACATTTATTTTGCAACTCTTTTTATTTCCATCTGTTTAAATAAGCATAAAATACTTGGTAGGGTGTTGATGGACACCAAGTCAGAACTCCATAAAACCTGTGGCTCATACATAATACAGCCTGTTATGTCCAATATTGGCTGAGATGCAAGGTAAAATGTTTTTTTTAATAAAGAAATTTACGCATGCAGCCTAAAACTACAGTTTCTAATCTTCAGTTTGACGTATAACTTGTGTGGGTTTGAAAGAAATCCAGTTGCCGCACCAGGCTTTTGTTTCGCTACTCCTGCTCATGATGCTTCCTCCTCTCAGCCCGCTGCCTGCTGTGTGCTGACTTGGCGGGGGCAACCACAGAATATAGTGATCACTTTTCAATAATGTGTAGTAATAAAATGACTGTTTTGTAAAATGAAAAGCCTATCTGTTCCCACCTCATTTATTTCGGTACGTCCCTGAGCTCTGTAAAGAAGCCCATCAGGATTAAAGATGAGTTTCAGCTACATGTGCTAGTTTAAGCTTGTCACATTAAGTAGACAGTGATGGATGATGTTTTAAGCTTGGGTGTTGTGTTTTGACGTCTAAGATTGATGGTCTGACTCAGTTTCTTATGGAGCGATGTAGTACAGTGTATATGTTGTGGTCAGATTGTTTAGGGGCCTCCCGTTTGTCTTCACTGACACTTATGGACACCAGATGTGCATCATTCATCTCACGTATGTCTGTCTGTTGTATGACTGTAATTTTCTGCTCAAAGTGCTCCCTTCTGTTTCCACAGTAGTTATTAACATATTTAGATGCCATGAAATCGCTGACTAAGTGATATATTAACACCACAATGATACAGGATCTGTGTAATCAATGCCTATTGGATTTTTTCAAAGTAAAATTAGTGTCCAGTCAGTTTTGGTCCACTGACAAGCAGCTAATGCTATGTTTGGACGTTTGGCCCCTTGCTGTCCATGTCCTTGTTTATGTGATGTAAATTTGGGCAGCCCAGCCTGCAGTGTGAGTGTGCCCATATGTGTGTGTATATTCAAGACTAATCGTGGACTGTGATGTAAATGTCTAAGCATTCAAGCAGGTATTTCAGTGTGCTGCAAACGATTTCCTCTCTTTTTCTAACAGAACAGAACAGTTTGATTGTTGTTCAGTGACTTTCTTTCAGGCTCTATTCAAAGACCAAACGGTTGAATGAATATTGAACTCAGTTTTCTGTATTCTTTGTGTGTGTTTTGCAGAAACTGGGCAGTAGCATGCAGTGTGAGGAAGGCACAGAATGGCTGCTAGAGCTGCTGATGGAGGTGCAGTTGCAGCAGTACTTCCTGCGGATACGAGATGACCTTAACGTCACCCGGCTGTCGCACTTTGACTACGTCAAGAATGAAGACCTGGAGAAGATTGGCATGGGTCGACCTGGTGAGAAACTCTGTGTGTGTGTGTGTGTGTGTGTGTGTGTGTGTGTGCGTGTATGTATTTGTTGTTAGGTGTTGTTATACTAAAGAGAAAGTTTGGGTTTTTCGGACCTAATTGTATTGCAGAGTTTTGCACAGTGGCGACTGGATCTTTGCGGGTCGACCCGTAACCCGTGGGACCCACAAATGGACCTGCAGGTCGGGCAGCAGTGATCGTCTGTTAAATCGGTCTGTAAATGATATTTTGACATTAATGGCTATTACTGTCATGGCATCTGAAGGTACTGATGTGTTGAGCAGGTGACAGTCCGTGGCCGTTTTCAAAACACACTTGTGTCATGCACTCCAAAAGAAACTTGTTGAAACTTTAAACAATAATTTATTGTACAAAATGGGGGAAACAAACGTTGACAAAAATGGTTCCATAATTCATATTAAATTCAAAAGATAACGAAAAAACAGCTACAAGTTAGAGGGAATAGTGATAAAGTGGTAAAACATGGCATTGATCCACAGCCTCAGACGGATGCGCTCAAGCGTGCCGTGTGCACAAGCTCCGTTGGTAGGCTATACTATATTTTCACATTTTTAACAATGCAATTTAAAAGTTTTGATTTTTATTGATAACCTACATTTACCAACAACAAAAAGACTACATTTAGTACCAAAATATATGTTAAAAAAAAAAAAAAGTAAATAAAAAAACGAATATCGAATACCAAATTTTCATAACGAATACCTTCCCATAGAAACGAATATCCGAATATTTGGGTACAGCCCTACTGAGTATGTTGTGATATTGTCCATGATTCAAGGCCTTAAAAGACCCTCACATTTTCTTTTTCTTTCTGCATATTGCCTGTTTATTTTTTAGCCAAACTAGCATCATGGCTCCAGCAATGGCAGGGTCACACAAACTATTTGATTGGACTCTGATGATCATCCCTTGAACAGGAGCCGTACACATGCCGCGTTTTTTGCACCCCCACATTCGTTATTTTCAATGTAGACGCGTGGCAGGCGTGCTCAAACGCCAGAATGATGCCCTTGTGGTGCGCACATGTTCCTGAGCAACTGTTTTTCAGGGCTCGATGGCTGCGCCCTGAGATAAACAGAGTTCAACTTTTGGAACACAGCAGCACACACGAGGTGGCTGGAGCCTATCCCATTTGACATTGGGCAAGAAGCGGGGTACACCCTGGACAGGTTGCCAGACTAGAGTCACCAATTAACCTGCATGCTTAGGACTGTGGGAGGAAGCTGGAGTACGTGGAGAAAACCTGTGCTGACACAGGGAGAACATGCAAACTCCACACAGAAGAGCTCCCCCACCTTGGGGTTCGAACCAGGAACCCTCTTGCTGTGCTATGCTAACCACTGCATCACCGTGTCGCCATTGGTGTATGAATGTGTGTGTCAATGGGTGAATGAGAGGCAAATTGTAAAGCGCTTATCTCTAAAAATGCATCTCCTCCTGTCTTTTCTCTGATTAGATGTCTTCAAGTATATCTCCAGAGTAGTGTACTCTCTGTCTCATATGTGTCAATGTCACTGACTAATTATACACTTCAGACAAATTAACGAGTAGTGTCCTATCCAATTTTCTCTGTGCTTTTGTATGACTATATAAGGGGATATTCTGCGTCTATATATAGCCTGAAGTGTTACTTTTGTCTGCAGTAATGGCAGTGTCATTTGGCTCACTGTCAGCATTGCTGGAGCAAATCCTCCATCGCTAACAACCCTAATATCATTTAAAACCACAACTGGTAATTAGGCACAATGGGAAGGGACACTTAAGTGCCAAGTCTTTTGTGTGTGTGTGTGTGTGTGTGTGTGTGTGTGTGTGTGTGTGTGTGTGAAGAGGATGGCAGCAGTAATGTTCTAAATCCAGTTACTGAGGCCCTCAGGGTATCGCTACCGAGCCGCTTAAGTCTAATTACACCCACTTCTCCTGGTTATATATTCCTCACATCTTTTCCTCCTCTCATCTCACTGTTCTCTGAGCTCTCCATCTTTTTGTTCTTGAATCTGCTTTATCTCCAATCTCTTCTCACATGTAGTATGTGTGTGTCCTCCATCTTTTCTACCCCCTTTATCATCCACTCTTTTTTTTCTTTATTCTCAGCTCTGAGTTCTCTTTTAATCATGGGAGACAATCTTGAAAGTCAATATAGTTTACCTTCTGTAACTCAAATCTTAACTGATCCTGTGGTTCTTACAGACAGGTTGCAATCTGTTTTGTGTCTGCCGCTGACCATCTGTGTGTTTCTCTTTGTCTTGTCTCTTTCTCTTTGTCATAAAGGACAGAGACGACTGTGGGAGGCCGTGAAAAGGAGGAAAGCCATGTGCAAGCGCAAGTCCTGGATGAGCAAGGTGACAGACATAGACAGACACAACACACACAAACACACACACCCAAGTCATTTATTATGGTCGGTGGTATGCTTGACATTATGTCGCCGTGGTGGCGTCTGTCTGTCTGTGTGTCTGTCACGGTGTGGACACAATCACACAGAAACTTAACACCTCGACCACAGTTTCCCCTATACGGATGTTAGAATTAAATTTTGCAGCACCTTGCCAAATTAATTTTGCGTAATCTCTTTTTTTATGTAAAGACAAGTACATTAATATAGGCAAGGCGAGATTATTCGGGTAGCACATTACACTCTGAGGATTAATATGTGCAGTGTCCTGGTTGTTTACAAGGCATGAACAGTTACACGTGTGACAGGTCGACTTCAGTTATTTCAAATGTCCTTGTCAGCAGTCAAGATTTTAGAATGACCATTTGTATATTAATTACTCGCCCTGTGCTTTGTTGAATTCATGCAGAAAAATGTGTTTGTCGCTATGCCTCCACGATGAACAAAGAATCCAAAAACACAGAGAATTCTTGATGAATTTAAAGGGACATTGTGTAACATTTTCAGTTGTTTATTGGCAAAAATTGATGTCTGCATTCATAAATATGTCATCACTGGTGTACTATTACCTCCACCAATAATCTGACTTATCGTAAAAGGAGAATTTCGGATTTGTTTGTACATTGTGCGGGTAAGTCGTCTGTGGGGTTCCATTATGTTTCGCCATCTTGAGAATACACCAGCCAGCAAGGGACATACAGCACCGCCTTCGGCGTTTTCGTTGAGAGCCAGGCCAGCACTGCGTGACTGAGGAGCCGAAGGAGAGGAGCAAGAGGCGCTTCGCTACTACCCTGGCAAATTTGAAACAAAGTCCCACTCTTTGAGCATAATGCAGGATCATGCATATGCAGCATCATGGGAGACGGAATCCTTGTCGCCAAGAAAGCGCAAAAGGGAATAGAAAAGGCAGCATGACCGGCGAATTAAAAAAACATCGGGGTAGCCTTTCCCAGGTAGAGAGAGCTGCTGAGGGAGAATGGTAATGCAATCACAGACCAGCGCCGCTGTTGGCTGTTAGCCGCTGTTAGCCGTTGTTAGCGCTGGCCTGTGATTGCATTACCTTTCTCCTTCAGCAGCTCTCTCCACCTGGGAAAGGCAACCCCAATGCTGACCCTTGTTTTTTTAATTCGCCGGTCACGCTGCCTTTTTGATTCCCTTTTGCGCTTTCTTGGCGACGAGGATTCCGTCTCCCGTGATGCTGTATAATACATGATCCTGCATTATGCTCAAAGAGTGGGACTTTGTTATGCGGCAGTAGTGCCGCTGGCCACTAACAGCTGTTAGCGGTGCAGTAATACAAGGAGAGGGATGAGGTGTGTGAGGTTGAGCCACTTGTCAGTTGTCAAAGGACAAGACGTGATTGGTTTGTTTCAATTTACATCCGCCCCAACAGTCCTACGTTGTAAACACAGCCAGCATGGTGAGGAGGGGGTTTGTCAACTCGCGTCGTGTGTGTCTGTGTAGGAGCCTGAATGAATACTCCATGTAGTATCGGATGACATGGTTTCATCAGTGTTATCATAGCTTTTTGGTACACAGAAGCTACAGTTGTTGCAATACGTGTTTGAAACAGTGAGGCGCTAGAGTGCACCATCTGTTTGAATACAATATATGATTTCAACGTTAGATGGGAGAAATTCCTACACACTGTGGCTTTAAGTCACAGGAGTCTGTGTGATACAACAGTAAAACTATATTAAAACATCTGGTTACAAACTCTCACACAACTCATGCAGTATAATCCAGGTCTCATCTATCCAGTCATGTGCTCAGTACTTCCCAAAGAGACAGTCTTTTCTGATGGGCAACTGTGTGGAAAGTAAAACTTATCTATGCTCTCTTCAAAGCCAGACTCCATTGACAAAAACAGTAATATTACCTTCCTGAACACTGGAGCTGCTGGTCTAACGCTACCTAAATCAGTTAGTTTGTTTGTCTTATTGTATGACTGCTGTATCCAAATTAACCCTTTGAAACACAAAAGTTACACAAAAACACAAACAAATTAACTAATGGAGGCAGCAGTAGCCCAACAGCTCCTGTGTTCAGTGAAGTAGAATTACTGCTTACGTAAATGAAGTCTGGCATTAAAGAGAGTAAAGTTAAGTTCTCTGTCAGAGAGATCTCTCTGTTTGGGAAGTACTGAGCATACAGCTGGATAAATGAGACTTTGATTAAACTGCTCAAGTTGTGTGAGAGTTTGTAGTTTAGCTGTTGTTAGACATGGCCGCCTTGTACTCCAATTCATCAAAAATTTTCTCAGTTTTTAGATTCTTCATTCACCGTGGAGGCTTTCAAGAAATTCCCTCCTGAATTCAACATAACACAGGGTGGTTAACTGATATGCAAATGGTCATTTGGCAGGTGAAGTATTCCTTAAAGCTGTAAGAGCGTTGACAAAACATTTTATTGATGTAGATATTTTTATCACAAATTCCTGGCGCAGTAGGTGGCAGCCACCTCCAACGTCTTGTTTCAAACAGGGAAGGTGACATAAAAGAGAAGTTATTTCTGTAATACAATTCAATACAATAGACAAAATGTTAATAAATAATTATGTTAAGTGTTTACTATTAACAAAAAGGACTTCTTTCTTTAACTTAAAGCAGCGACTTTGCACATAGGTAAATGATATGTGTGTCAGAATCATGTGCATGGCTGCAGAGAGTGCAAGTCTCAAGTCTACAGCTTTGGTGAGTGGTCACATAGCGCTAACACGATGTCAAGGTGTTGCTTCTGTGTGATTATGGAGGAGGCCATTTCCTGATCGGTTGTGTTACTTGTTTTTAAAAGAGAAACACATCTGGAATGTTCCGTACAGATGCATATGTATCTATAGGGAGAACCCCCCCAGAGAATAAGACAGCTTGACCCTTCACATGAGGATGAGCACGTCCACATTCACACACACACACACACACACACACACACACACACACGAGTCCAGTCACAAGAGTTGCTGACACACAGATTCAGAGCGTGCTGCATTCACAGACATGTTGCCTCATGAAGCATGAAGTTTCTCCCTTAAAGAGACAGAACCCATGTGAGCATGTCAGCAAACCTTTATCAAAATATCTGTTTACAAACTCACACAATTCACACACTTAATGCAGTGTGGTAGCGACAATACTCATAACAGTGGACAGCGACCAAGGCAGCTCTGTAACATCAGAAAGTAAAAAACACCTCTCTGGAGGTGAAAAAGTTGATCATGACTCTGCTGCCTGATGTGAAATTTAGGAAACACAACATGAAATATTGGAGAAGGAGTACCATTAGTGACAACATGGCATCTGCAGTGATGTGGGCACTGCGCCGGACTATCGTGATGAAGAGGGAGCTGAACCGGTAGGCAAAGATTTCGATTTCGTGGCCCATCTACATCCCAACCCTCACCTATGGTCATGAACTTTGTGTAATGACTGACAGAATGACATCGTGGATACAAGCGGCTGAAATGAGTTTGCTCCGTGGGGTGGCTGGGCTCAGCCTTAGAGATAGGGTGAGGAGCTCGGGCATCCAGAGGGAGCTCGGAGTAGAGCTGCTGCTCCTTCGCGCCGAAAGGGGTCAGTTGAGGTGGTTTGGGCATCTGATCTGGATGCCTCCTGGGCGCCTCCCATTAGAGGTGTTTTAAGCACGTCCCACTAGTAGGAGGCTCCGGGGCAGACCCAGAACACGCTGGAGGGATTATATATCTCATCTGGCCTGGGACAGCATCACGGTCCCCCAGGAGGAGCTGGAAAGCATCGCTGAGGAGAGGTATGTTTGGGGTGCTTTGCTTGGCCTGTTGCCCCTGCGATCCAGCCGTGGATAAGAGGATGAAAATGGAACGGGTACTATTACAGATGGAGGACATAATAAGGCATTTTGTTAGCCATGCCAGTAGCGTGGCTCCAAAGATGATGGTCCGTCACTCCACCTCTTTCATCCTCTCTGAAATATCTCAAAAACCATTTGGATGGCTGCCATGAAAGCCACAAATTAACATTATACCTGCTAAACACCAGCTTCTTAGCATGTTAACGATAGCATTTAGCTAATATAAGCATCATCTGGCGACGAAGATGCCTGTTGACATAAAGTAACGTTACTTCTCCAGACGTGATGAAACCCAAAACTCCAGAGGTTCATCATGCTTACAGATAGTGGTGGTGCTGAGGTTGGCAGGGGTTACCGTAGTTATGCGTCTCCAACCGGTAAGGAAGCTCCCAGGAAGTGACGAGGTACTTACAGCTCAGTGCATCGGAAAAGATACACACTACTGCTAAAGGCTACCTCATACAGAAGCTTGTACAATACATGATGATACACCTACATGCACACACAAAGCTCAGAGAAACGAAGTGTGTGAAGGAATACTCTGTAGTGTGTTTATGTGTTTGCTGTTCTCAGTGGAAGTCGTGGTGCCCAGAGGACGCTGCTCGCCTTCTATAATTACACCTGTCTGTTTCCGCCTCTGGCACCATCCTCACTCAGCTAGAGTAATCTGCTTCCTCAGCCCCCTGTGTGTGTGTGTGTGTGTGTGTGTGTGTGTGTGTGTGTGTGTGTGTGTGTGCGCGCATGCGTGCGTGCGCACTCTACCATACTCAGAATCTTTTGAATGTCGAGCCTCCTATTTGAAACCCACTTACCACACAGTGACCGCAGAGATGTGGTGTTTTTAAAAAGGTCTGCAGCATTATGTCATGTCTGGTCCGGTGTGAATGTGAAACCACACACCGCTTGCTACTGTTTATATCTGGCCAGTCAAATATGTTTGGCACCGGAGATTCATTGACACCTCTTTTTCACTGACAGGACCGTTTTCTGAGTGGTGACCTTTGTTTACCCGCCAGTAATGAGCTCACATTGATCTCATTCACTTTCTTAGAATGACATCGACATTAATTAATGCTGTAGATCCAAGATGGCTCTGTCTGTGAGAGAGACATGTCTGTGTGACAT